CTGTCAGGAAAATCACCAAAGCACACACACGAGCTCAGATCTCAGTGACTTTCGAATGGAGTGACCTTTGTGCCTTTGAAAATCTACCCTTTGTTCTCTGCAAAGTGACGGCTTCTCACGTGGTCTGTTATATTTACAATTATGTGCGTTTGGTGTTCCTGTGACCTCTTTTCGCTCATTACCACTGCACTTAATATCACGGCAAAAGAAGGGTAATGATTCTTTTTTTGCAATTGTAACAAAAATGCTACCATAGCAGAGGGTATGTGTTGGCCAAGGTCTTTATTATGCAACTGTATGCAGATCACTGTGAATTGCATCGTTCATCTAGTTCAGTGATGCAGCACCAAGGTCACTGGGCATTTTTAAGCTAGTGATGAGACCATAAGTCTAATAAATGTGCTTGGTAATCACAGCAAACATATTGTCATTGTCGCAGATGTTATTCTTTCAAAATCACTTGGCAAAACACAACTCGTGCATGCTCTGACCTCTCCTAAGAAGGCACCATCAGGAACACTGAGGTGAGATTGTTTAAGCAGACAAGTCATGGCCAACAGCTACAAAATGGGTACTTCCAACAGCGCCATTGCAGTTTACTTAGAATAAACACGCAAGAGGCTAAATGAACGTGGAATCAGCGAAGGGCAAATTTTGACAGAGAGCAGATTTTGAAAAGGAACATGTCCATTAGTAATGCCAACGCAGGTAGAGATCAATTTCATATTACAATGACCTAGGCAGGTTGACATTAATTATCCATTATGCTGCAGTAACCCACTACTTGCTGATCCAGTAGCCTTTTGTTTGTCAGAAAATACATTAACCACCAAATGCATCATGTCACTGTGAGCTTTGCCACTATGTGCAGTGATTCTCCACAAGGCTTATCAGATGCTGCAATTGCTGATTTCTTTGAAAGGATATACATCATCTCCCAGGCTGGGTCACAAGATTGCTAATGTTATGCCCTTAAAAAGTGGTGATGGACTGCCCAGAACTTGTTGCAGCCCCAGTGTCTTGCAACCTATCATATATATGTATATTTTTTTATTTTTACATAGGTATATTGTATATATGTATATTTTTGGCTACCAGGCATAAACAAGCCCACAACTGCCTGACCACTAAACATGCTCCTGACAATAAGGGAGGAAAAGGAAATTTAAACCAGACACAATTTATTGAATTCTTGCTTTGCTTATACCTGTTATTGATATGAATAAAGGTCAGTAATTCAACATTACTGCAAAATTCACTTAAGATCCTTCAGTGTACAGAAAATGCCCACACGTGAAGATGGCTCTTTAGCAAGGAGCTGAAACAAATGTGGTGGCAAGAGAGGTCTAAGACAAGACAGAGCTGTCATGTCTTATTCTCAAATGACAGAAACAATGCAGTCATGAAATCAGTTTCACTGCTTTTATATATAAGTTTCCATGCTAAACAACAGAAAAATATTACCCTTTGCTAATGGAGCTATTTCACCAGGAAGCACGGCATGTGTCCAACTCAATGTGTCTGCAGCTTTCAATCCTCAATTCAGTTTACCAACAGTTAAACTATTCAAGGCCTGTATTATAACCTTTTAAAGATGACATGTGACAAGATGATTTTTGATAAATAGTAGAACCTTGGTACTACAAATGTGGCCCTTGGCTTGCCAAGGAGAGCAGGTGTCTGGATGCAACCCGACGTTTTGTCAGCCGCTGCTGTTCAGATAACCATTTTATCGTCAGTGCACACTCTGACCCATGCTATAGTCTCCTCTCACTCAGAACATGTTCACTCTCATGTGATCCTGCATTTTGTTGCAATAGAACAGCAAAATGTTTAGACCACAGTAGAATGCTGCAAGCTCATTTCTGAGGGTGACCTTGAGTGCATCTGGCATACAAGTGCAGTGGAAGACCAGCAAGCACTTTGTCTCCTACACCTCTCCTGTACCACCTATGTCCAATACTGGTATCACCATTTGAAATAACAGAAAGCAAAAAAATAAGTGCCTGGGTTTGTGTGTGAATGCACATTCAGAATTGCACTTTCATGTGCATGCTATGTAAATCAAGAAACCAAAGACAGATTAGAAACTTTCACCCTCCAAACCCATGATTTTTTCTCGCCTTTTGCTTGGAAGCTTATCTTTAAGTCTTATGATTTTTTTAACTCTTCAGGGTGGGAAGCATGAATTAGAAATCAGTCTGTGACCCATTACTATTTTATAATCCTCTCTTTGGCAAGTTGAAAGGAATAGCTTGCCAGGCTTGTCTTTAAACTTTCATGGAATGATGTGAGGGAGTGAAACACGATGGCCCAGACAAAACACAGGAAAACTGGTGGTGTTGGGAAGGCCTGTCCAGAAAGGCAGAACAAGAGTATATTACCAAATATACATGTTTTGAACTGACCAAATTAACATTTATTTTTGAGGAAATAACTAATAATAGTGACCATAATATTTTTAGATTCAGGAAGAACACAGGAATAACAGACCCAAAAGCATCACCATGGCCATGCTCACCTTCAGAAAGGAGAGCTATGGAAAACTGAAAAATCTTGTTTAAAAGAAATCAAAGAAGGATGGCTAAGAGATTTAAGTCCTCACAGGCAGCATAGAGACCCCTGCAGAACTCCATGCTGGGAGCACAGCACCAGTGCATACTGCTCACTGGAAATCCCTTGGGAACAGGTAAAAGGAAATCAGCATGGCTAAACAGTAAAGCAAGGGAAGCTACTGAAAATAAGAAGTTAGCATTCAACATGATGAAAATGCATCTCAGTGAAGAAAAGGAAAAAAGTTATGAATTCTGAAAGAGTAAGCATAAAACTATAATTAGACTAGCATTTGCTTTGTAAATATTGTGGCAAAATTTCAAGGTGTTCATTTTCCCCGTAAGTAATTTGACTTGTCTTTGACATCAAAAGAAAAAATGATGGCTTGATTCACTGGTTTCCCTGCCTTTCATATCATGCAGATCAAGATGAAAATGAATATAAAGTGCTGCAGAATACAGCTATTTTATACTTGTTTCAGGCTGTATAAATGATAATAGGAAGTGTAGGACAAAAATGGATCTAAATGCTTCTAAACCATCTTTTCTGAACTTCAGAAGAAGTGCAACTATATGAATCTTTCCTTATTCAGACAAGAGAATGCCATTAGTGGATGGTAAATCAAACTGCCTGATTTTATAACCATACCCTGGAGTCACTTGACATATTTATCTGTGCCTCATTAGTGGCAAATTTACTCCCTGATACAGCAGGGCCAAATCTGTTGCGCTTGCAAATGCGATCTTCCAAATTCACACACTTCCCACTTATATGCAACTAGATCCTGCCTAGTTACAGCCACATTTTGCTCCAGGGTCATGCCTCCAACCTTGCCTCTCTGTGCCTGTTTTCCTAGCCTTGCAACAAAGAAATGGATAAACGCAGCAAGTATTTTTCCCATAAATGAGCTGTGATTTTTTTTAAGGAATTGACTAAATACACATCACCTTTTGTTTACTCCTAGTCTGACCCCTAGTCTGAACTAGTTCCACTGGAGTTCAGTAAAATGAATTCCAGAACGGTTTGCACAACAGTTCTTAAAAACCCAAATATGCCAGCAATGGGAAATACTTTTACCAAAGGCTCTTTCAGTTCAGAAACAGAATCACTAGCTTGAGGACAAACTGATCATCTCATTTACCTCTGACCATAAAAAGATTAGGAAGACAATTAATTTTAAGTATTCTTGTGCAGTTTTGCCATGCTGAGTGTCTGCAGAAGTGCTTGCAGTATCAGGACCCTCTCACAGTATCAGTGGTCCTCTGTCTAGAGGGAGAAATATTCTGTAGGCATTTCACTGAAGAGTTCAAAATAATGAATAAATTGGAGGATAATCAAGATCATAAAAATATTCATCAAGAAGGAAGACACCCTAAAACACTGATGAAATAATCTGCTGCCATTTATTTCCTTCATATTTCCCTTTATTTCATCCGTTTCTTTTCCCTAGCCCTTTCTACAGCTACATCCATTTTCTCTACCACTGCTTACTGGATTTTGCTCTTGTTATGACTGCACACACATCTCCATTTCCTCTTGATGGCTTGATACTTCTAACATCATATTTTGAAACATCATCTTGTGCATTCTGTGCTTCATTGCTATTATAAAAATGTTAGGTTCCTGTAAAACTAAAAGCAGAAAATAGATTTTTTGGGGGGCAGATAAAATTGTGGAGATTTATATTTTGCTTGCTCAAATATAGTTCTGCCTTTCAGAAGACATTTTTAGGAGTTCCCTTTGCTTTGTGTGGTGCTTTTCTGCAGCGACAGCAGGCGGTGGTTTAGTGGCAGTTTTAAAATATAACATTACTGTACATTACAAAGAGTACAATAGTGGTTTAGACAGCAACACTTCTTTAAAAAAAAAGACAAACAATATGACATTCCTAGTTTCCTCCCTCTGTTGTAGCAAGCTGTTCTTGGACAATTTGTCAACATCACAAAGCAGAGCCACTCACTTTTCTGTTAAAAAAAACCCCCACACCCACACACATAAACTCTGGATATTAATTAGTAATCATAAGATGGTAAGCTGGTGGTTTTTTGAAACAAATAAATTTGTATTTCCACTTGATTTACCAGGTCTATTAAATATTTACATTATTGCTTTCCAGTTACTCTCTAGTATTTTTATTATATATTAACCACTCAGAAAATATTTTTTAAATTATCATTTATTTCATATTTTTTCACTTTTACTACCGTCTCAATACAAATGTTTTTATTTAAGCTGTAAGACTTTCAAAACACCATCACTGCAGTCATCTACCTGTTACCTTGATTTTTTTTATTTCATTATCAGCCATTAGGCAAATAAAAGGCAAGTCACATAATCTAATTTTGTTAATGGAACGTAATGCGACTCTAGGCAATCTAAAAATAGGTAAATAACCCCTTGCCCCTCCAAGAACCACAGACTCTAATTAGGCTACCGGAAAATACATCTCAGAAAACCGTTAGAAGTGCAAAAAGTCCATAGAGTAAAGCACACGGGTATGCGACAAGAAGCTGCTGTCCTTCCATAGCCAATGCAGAGGTAAAAATTTTGGAGGCTGACAAGCTGCACCATCCAATAATAAACAGAGCTAACAAAGTTCCCAGGATCCCCCTAGGAGAAAAACAAAAGAAACAAGACAGAGTCCACTTGTTAGTAAATGTAGCATCAAATCTTATCCAACTCAAGTTCATGTCTGGCAACTTGTTATTGATAAGGTAACAGTTGCTGGAAGAACCAAGGACTGACTGACATAATGAAAGTCAAGCCTGAGAAACAAATTAAAATAGTAACAGGGGAAAAAAAAAAAAAAAAAAAGGTAAATTCTTCAGCATGGATAAAAGCCGCAGCTTCCTCAGTAGTACTGCTAAAAAGACAAGCACATTTCCAAATAAATATTCTGGGGTTCCAGCAGATGCAGCAGTTTAAGTTTAATTTTAAAGTTAGCAAAGATCTTATTGCAGCCAAAATCACCCTGTAGGAGTTGTTAAGATCTCAGATGACACTACAGACCTACTCTTCCATCAGGCAGCCTGATGACCTGGAGGGGTTGCACTTTTGTAACACATGGCACAGGTCTGAAGTGTGCCTCGGACTGCGAGGAGAGGCAAGGAGGCTCTTAGAGAATCACACCTCAGCTGAGCGGGCAGAAAGGTGTGGACTGCCTCCCAGCAGAAAGCTCATCTGGTCTTTTAAAAAAGGATGCACGCTGAGTAGAAAGTAAGGGATGGGAAAAGAACCACTGAGAAAAATATTTTGCATCCTTCTCTGCAGACAGAAAGGACGGTGCCTTCCCACACTGCCCGTCGGGGACAGCCGGGCCCTTCTGAAGTTACGTCCTGCCACCTCTCAGGTGCAGGGTGGCCCAGAGAACTGGTGATTATGGGACTGTGGTCAAAAGCCCGCTGAAATATTCCTGCAGATTATAGAGAGCTCACTATTAAATCCTGTAGGAACAAAATCTTGCCAATAAATAATGTTTCACATATGCTTTATTTGCACTCTGTATTTGCAGCCTGCTTCTGTAAAATGCATGAGATCATGCGTGCAATACGCTGCTGAAGTACCTAATGAGATCGGCTGCATTACACACTTTCGCTGTGTCAGTCTCAAGGACTTTGAGAATGAATGAACCTCTGCCACTAGCTGAAGGGCTTCCTGGTGCCCCACTCCTCCAAAGTACCAGCAAAACAGAACCAGACGTGAGAAACAGACGACCTATACTTACTTAGGTCCATTTATCAGAAAAAAATCACCACAAATATTATTACTGCAATTAAACCATGATGAGTAAAGCCCTCCTTATTTAACTGACTTAGTTTACTTAATGCAATCATATCACATAAAATAGTTCATTTCTTGGCAATCCAGTCTCCAGGCCAATAAGCTACTTGGTGTTGTCAGCTCTTGGGACTTTGGGGGATGAAGGAGAAAATCGATTTTAAGGTGACTCAGCACCTCATTGCAACTTCAATCTGTTAAAAATAAAACATTAAAGACCCTGTGATTTAATATGCTCCGTTTAAATGTTCCTTTCAATCTATACAGTGGCATTCAGGGAAATTACACTGGGCTCTGCGAACCCAGTTCCTGGCCTCTTCTCCAAGTGAAGATGCTAAGATGCTCACTTAAACAGCCAGAAATTCGGACCTGGTAGGGGTGGCTCTTTGAGCAGGTATCCATGGTGGCAGAGGGATGGGATGTAACAAGAACATACTGTGCGATGACAATTTTCAGCTAGTATAATGACTCTTTAGGGGACTATCACAAGGTTGTACAATTTAGAGCTGTGGCTGTTCTACCTTGCGCTGAAGTCCAATGAGCTCTCTTGGTTTGTCCCAGGACTGGCAGTGGGCAAGATGGAAAGGTGACATAAAATCATATTGGGGCCAAGAGAAGTCTGTGCACTTATAAATTCAGTCTTTGATCTAACAGCACGTTACTGCCAAAAGGTTTGGTTCTAGCAGAGAGCTTGTGTCTGCCATGTCCCTGAGGGCCAAGTCCTGAAGCATGGGAGAGGGGCAAAAGGCAGATGTCACGTTCACAGTGACCAAAAGGACTGGGGGTGTACTGGCATGAGGTTGAGCTGGGGGTGACAGGCATGAGTGGACCCTTTCCACTGCCCTCTCTCTCACAACCTGCAGACACGGTCACCAAAGGGGTCCTTTGCATCTGCTGGTATTTCAATTACAGTGAAATAGCTAATCATGAAAATTGAAAACTGTTGGATTAGTATCTTAACTTTGCAATAGATGTGTGCATTATCTTATGTATATTTTCTGTGAACACAAGCATTGAAGTTAGTTCCTGATGATTTGAAATGGACAGAAATAACATTTTTACCAACGTTAGAAAAAAAATAATGCATGTATTGCTGTCTTTCCTTTGCCATTTAAAATAAGTTTTAAAATTAAAAATAATGAAACATATGTTGGAGTTAAAAGTTGCCACTTAATTTTAATAGCTTGTTCGTAACAGTTAACCTTGGTACTTGCTATGTTCAAGCAATTTCTTATAGTGAATGAGAAAGGACAGAATCCTGTAGACAAGCACTTAACATTATCAATTAAGTTCAGAAAGAATGGTTTAATTTTGTAAAGGCTATCACAGTGTAGCATTTACAGATCTTTGAAAGATGTGTTTTCTGTAAATTCTCAGCATTTTACAATGTGCGGTGCGTGCTTGGGGATTCTTTGTACGGACAACAGTACCCTGCGCAGTTGTAACAGCTGGTTTGGAGTTAGCCCCATCTGTCCTACGATTATGTATCTGCACCTTTTATTAGAGTGGATTATTAAACAGGTTAATCCAGAAAATATGGGAAGTGTAGGAGAACAGAGAATGAACGGCTTCTTCCGTGTCACTACTGTTCATCTCACCAAGGACAGCTCAGAAACACTTCAATATATGGAATATGGTCCTGTTAACGCATCATAGCTCCACAGAAACACACGACAAGGATTGTGCCAAAATCTTGATCCCACTATATCATTTCCTTAGAAAATAATAAATTCACACATAAAATTGCTGCTATTCCAAAGAAAACAAACAGAGGCACTTTTTTATTCATCAGTTGCCAAGTCCCATACGTTACAGATTGGAGAGTTAAAAATGTGAGTGAACAACAAATACTAAGGGAGAGAACCATTATTAATAATGTGTTAAAACCAGATAAAAGTATTGCTCGAGGCCTTCAGGCAAGACCTGGAGCTTCCTTGTACTTTGCTGTATGCGAACAGGGAGGTAAACAGTCTGTGTCTCAAAAGGCTTACAGAATGAGGAGGAAGGAGAGGCTTGCATACAAATTTCCTATTCATAGGCATATTACTGAACACCCCCCCACACACATCCACAGATACATATGCCACCACACATTTGTTTTTTCAAAGTTTTCAAAGTTATTTTCAGGTTTGCAATTACACCACAACTATACCTCAGAGTATATGACTCTACTACATCTTAAACACTCGTTCTAATGCTCCAAATCATTAAGGGCTGACTGATTATTTCATTCTGTCACACAGAAGTCGGTCTACAGAAGGAAACGAAGTATAAGGATGGGAGCCTGATCTATGAACAAAAAAAAAGAACAGGAGAACCATCTATATAAAACCAAAGTCTGGAAGTTGCTTTTGAAATTGATACCTGATTTTGGCCACTGTTGGCTCTGCAAAACAAAATGCACATTTGGGGCTGCTGCAAAATACAAAGCCACTCTTAGTCCAAGTAGGAAACAGTGGAATTAAGGACTCATTTTTAAAAGAATATTTATCACCCCTCTCAAACACAGTTCAGTTTTCACAGAATCACAGAATCATAGAATAACAGGTTGGAAGGGATCTCAAGGATCATCTGGGCCAAACTTTCTTGGCAAAAGCTCCATCTAGACAAAAGCACTGCCTAGACAAGATGGCCCAGCACCCCATCCAGCAGCCTCTTAAAAGTGTCCAGTGTTGGGGAATCCACCACTTCCCTGGGGAGATTATTCCAATGGCCGATTGTTCTCATTGTGAAAAATTTTCCTCTTGTGTCCAATCGGAATCTCCCCAGGAGTAACTTGTACCCATTACCCCTCGTCTTTTCCATGTGCGCATTTTCACCTACCCACACAAAAAAAAAATTGGTATTTTCCTTCAGTTTCAGAAGCCAAAATTCACTACATCATAACCATTTACAAAATGTTTTGTATAACACCAGCCTTCCAACTTACTGTTCTCCATATGATTCCTGTTGCCATAGACTGGTACTTACTGTAGTGAGAAGACGACTGCAGAAGAGGACAAGATCACCATGGGCAGCAGGCAATAGCCCAAGACACTTGCAACGCAGCCATGGGAGACTCCTGCGACGCTTTTTTTGCATGCATAGCAAGGCACCCAATGGCACTCATGCCATACACATAGCCAAAATGAACTTTTCCTGCCTGGAATATATATGAGTAAGGATGAAGTGTCAGAAGTGAGCAAGTGATCACAAAGTGGTGGGAGAAGACAGAAGGCAAGCACTAAGTTTGTTCCTTTTTCTTGTTGTCACTTGCTCTTCACTTCGCCTACAACAGTTCAATTGTAAATCACAGCTGATACTTCTGGGTGATTTTTGCATCAAAAATTTCCAAGGTACAATTGTGAGAATGTGCTTGTTGCTAATTTAAAGTTATAAGGCTGATTCTTAGTCTTATTGTAATTGGGCTCTGAACAGGACAGGAATTGGTTGGGGATTCTTGGGAAGGTCTAACCAGTAACAAACTGAGAAGAAATTATGGAAAGCACATTTTAGTGTCAGGAAAAGTCTTTCCAGTAGGTGTACATGGGGCTGTGGGAAAGTGTCCTAAGTAAAATGATTACCCCACTTACTTAATATGCTTCACATACAAACCTCCAGCTTTAAGCAGACCTGCAAAAAACTAGTAAATCTTTACTGAAAGTATGCTGGTGTTCAGAGTGAATGTGTCCATTCTTGCCCTTGACTACCATGAGAAAGACACATCTCTGTGGTTAGATCAATATATGTTCATTTCAATGTAAACCTTAGTAGCAACTGTCAACTTGTGTTCTTTTTTGTACCAACGAATGAAAATTTCCCCAGGTGTTTTTTTTTCCTCCAAGTTTTATTCCTTTGTGTGAATTTAGTGCCTGTGAAAGGTACCAGCCTGACAGTCTGGAGCCTGATGTTTTCTAATTTATACGCAAAGCTAGTACAACAGGCAACAGTGGCCAGAGCACCACTGATTTCTTCATCTTCTGCCATCATTTTGAAGGATCATCTCCAGGCACGATGGCTTTGTTCACTCCCAAAATTGAACACTGACGAAAGACTGTTAAATATTTTTTCTCTCTCCTCAAGCTTCCAACAAATGAAATACTGAAAGCTGGCTATGCAATGCTGTCATTTTCAGATCTGTACATCAGAAATACACAGCAATTGGGATGAAGATGGCTTTGTTTGTTTTGTGTTGGAATTTTGTATCCTAAAGATGACATGCATTTGTAAAGAAGAAAGCTCAAACCTGGGACTCAACCCTTAACTCAGGATCATGGAATAAACTTCTGCAGGGTCATAATGCATCACCTGCCTAAGACATAACAATACATATATACATACTTAAAACACAGGTGTGTTTGTGCATACACACACGTATATCTATATATTGCACATATTATATATTGCATATGATAAACCACATGAGAATCAAAACTGAGAGGGTCTCAGTTTCCTAATAATTTTGTAGCTTATGGGCAGATTTTCTTGTGATGGATAAGGTGGAAACATTATTGAAGCTTTTTTCATGGTTTGCAATACGTAAAAGTATCTCTTCCATGATGGTTAAGAAGGACTGAGAAGACCTCCCACTTTACTTATCCATACATTTTAATAACATCTGAGGGAAACCAACTTTGAGGACTGCCCTTCTCTGCCTGTATCCATTCTTCCTGTATCCATTCTATCAGTGGAAACTGATCACTGGATGCCAGCAGTATTTGAACTGAACAGATACAAAGCAATACAGTGGAGAGAGCCTAACCTAGTGACGACACAACCCAAAAGTCCTAATGTTGCAGGTTGGTGACAGCTCACCAGCTCTAGTTGGAGAGCAGTGCACGCTTATGTGAAAGGCAGCCTCAGTTAATAAGACCTGTCTCTACATCAGCACCGTTATCCTGTTTTCAGGGTGACCTGGCTCGCTGCTGAGCTCTCCTCTGGTTCCAGTCCTCAAGGTCAGGTCAGGTCAGGTGCAGACAGGTTGCCTATATCCTCACACTGTCCCAAGTATTGGCCTTTTCCCCGCTGCTCCATTCGACCAGAAAGGAATAATCTAATCTATTCCTGAACTAACAGTGTAAGAGATCTTCCTATTTAGGTACAGTCCTTTGCTGGTATTTGCATACTACTGGTATAAAATAACCAGGAAAAATTGCTTCATCAAACAAAATGAATGATGGCTAGAGGTACTGTGAGAGAGCAATAGCAGCTCAGATTATGATAGAATCATGGAATCATTTTGGTTGGAAAGGACCTTTAAGATCATCGAGTCCAACCATTAACCTAACACTGCCAAGTCCACCATTAAACCATGTTCCTAAGCACCACGTCTATACGTCTTTTAAATACCTCCAGGAATGGTGACTCAACCACTTCCCTGGGCAGCCTGCTCCAGTGATTGATAACTCTTTTGATGAAGAAATTTTTCTTAATATCCAATCTAAGCCTCCCACGGTGCAACTTGAGGTCATTTCCTCTTGTCGTATCGTCTGTTACTTGGGAGAAGAGACTGACACCCACCCAGCTACAACCTCCTCTCAGGTAGTTGTAGAGAGCGATAAGGTCTCCCCTCAGCCTCCGTTTCTCCAGCCTGAACAACCCCAGTTCCCTCAGCTGCTCCTCATAAGACTTGTGCTCCAGACCCTTGACCAGTTTCGTTGCCCTTCTTTGGAATTATTATCAATTACAAATTTGTCATTAAAGATTTGTAGTGAGTTTAACATCTGCAATGGTTTGGGGACTCATTTACTACCAACAAACTAAGAAAAGCTCAAACAGAAGCAACAACTACAAGCTAATATTTTAGACTATTTGGTTTAGTGTATTTAATTATTCCACACTGCACTATTTAGTAATTTAGTAATTAAGAATTACTGAGATGGACTTGAAGGGAGCACTAGTACTAACAGCTAACTGAAATCTCCACTTGGTGAAATGTTTGATTTGTGGTGCAGGGGAATGAGAGGGAAAAAAAAAAAAAGCAGCTGAACATGTTGGTTCCAATTCTAGTCTTTCCTAACATATGTAAATATACTGACTCATACACGTGGGAATATTCCCAATTCACAGTGATGTAAGCAAAACCAGAATCAGGCTTGATTAGTCTGGCAGGCTTTGATGAATGGAAAGAGCTAAATTTGTCCTGCGGAAGGAACAAGGTTAGAAGAAAGTCAGACTTTGTGTGCTTGTTTGCATCCGCCTAGAGTGGGTACTACTATCCTTAGTTTAAGTGGATGGGGAAGTCTGATTTCATACCAATGACTATGTAAAATGCAAAGCAGATGAGACTCGGGCTTCTGCTAACTTTCACGTTGCCGTTGTTTCTCTGTCTGCAATGGAACTGCCCTGTTTTACGCCAGTATGAGGAAGATCAAGTCCTGCCACCAGGCTAACAATCCTTTCCTCTTTTTCTCTGTGTTCTGAAAGACCTGCTACCATTTGAAGAATATCTTTGCATATTTTTCCGTAGTTAAAAAGCTGAAAATAAATAAAATTTACAAATTATTTTTGGAAACAAGCTCTCAACCAAATGATGTATGTTCCTGGTGCTATTATAAGAGAATTATTCAAGTACAGAAGGATATCATAGCTTACACAGCTGAAGAGCCACTTTAGTATTCAAATGCATCTGAGATGAAATGAGCAGCCTGAATTTGTAAGATAGCCCATGGAAATCCCATAGACTTATTGCTGTGAAGGTGTGGCACAAAAACTCTAGATTGTATCGGAGGACTTCTGCTGACCTAAAACTGGAGCATTGAAAATAGTTGTTTTTCTAATGATACTTAAAACGCTTAATATCCTAGAATAAATATAGTAATTAAAGTACTTTAGTACTTTAACATTCATTATAATTGTTGGCTATCCAGGGAGCAAAATCAACAGCAAACATTTTTTCATTCCTTCTTTTAGCTTTCCTTCCATTTTCCTGATTATAATCAATTCAACACTTTCTCCTTTTATTTGCCTCATATCTTTATTTCTCCAGGTGGAAAATAGCCTGTCTTCTCTAGCTTCCCACTTTTTTTTTTTTTCCTTTTATTCCCTTTCCTCCTGCTGCTTCCACCCTTTTAAAGGATTTTTATTTTTATAGGGACATAAATAATAATAACACTTGCCATTTATATTGCAGTTTGCACATGCAAGGTACTGCACTGACATTACAAATTGAGTAAGAACTTGCAAGACTCTTCTGATTCAGCACTATTTATCACAGAGGAAATGGAGAATTAGAGCCCCGTTTCTCTCACCTCAGTTGCTAGAGCAGTAAAGCCCTTCCCAGACTGGTCCCACCTTATCCCTCTCTGATAAATTGCTGCCGACAATCAGAGCTGTACTTCAGCAGCATCAGAGAGCCCCTGTTGTCAGTGATAAATAGATGAATTTAGGAGTAGTGTACAACCCCTGTTCTACTTTCCTCCTGCAGAAAGCCATATTCATAATGAGGAAAGAGGTTAAACATAGGCTACCATATTTTGTTTAGCAGATGATGTTGAAAAAGAATATAAACTAAGAAAGCACTAGCACAGTTTATAGGAAGGTATTGCAAATTTGAGGCAAGAGGGAAAAGGCTGTTTCCACTTCCTTTTTCAAATTATTTTAGTTACATAATTTTTTTGTTATCTTTGCACTCCCCAAAGTAACATTGAGAGAAGATAATTTCAAGACAGTAGCTGGTCTTCTATGCCTTTTTACTCCCTCCTTTGAAACCTCCTTGCTAGGTCCTTACCTTGTGCCACTGCCACGCTTTGGGTGTTCAGAGCCTCCCCAGGATATACACTGCACAGATCTGGCCTTTGTTCGTATTAAATCCCACCCCCAAAAAATTATATGGTCTGTTATTTCCAGTGGAAGTAATACATCACTTCACCTGTATTACATCTATATTACATTTAAACTTTCTATAGGTACTTTCAAAGAAAGGAGACTTTTTAATTAATAATCTCAGAACAAACGGCAGCGAATGACTCATTTTATGCCAGTGCTACATCTTCTGCAACTTCATGTGCATTATCACCTAGGCATTAACTTGTTAGAAAAGAAATCTCGTAAGATATCTGCCACATCCTACCAGCAGCAGTGTTGCTCCGAGGGCTAAACAGAAAACCATAGGTCCAGTGAGGTCCGTCTCATTCATAATGCTGCCATCTGCAGGCTTCATTGGATTTAGAACTGTTAATGTTTTTTGCCATATATGCTCAAAATTGATCCCAAGTTCTGCAATGAGAAATTCCAGGATTGTTAATTGCTCACAAGAAAACAACACTATTACAGAAACCCATTCGCTACCACAAAACTCAAACCAAGCAAACAAATTAATCATTTTAATGAAGATAATATTGTAGGATGGCATTTTCTGTAGTAGGAGCATGCTGTCCCTGCTATATACCCAGTATATTTGAGTCAGCTCTGATTCTATATTAGAATATTAATTTATTAAATCCAATTTTAGGCATTTTTGCCCTCAGCATTTCTGAGTTAATATTTGTTTTTCTTGTATTTAAAACACATATATCTAATGTCACACTAACTTAGATGTTGAAAAATATGCTAATTAACAGTAACTGCAGACTTCAAGATACTCTACAACACCGAGGACAGAGATATATGCCTTAATTCTGGCAAATCTGACAAGAGAAGTGCCTTAAGCCTGAACTGCCAGAGGCACTTAAAAATGACATTCTTTCCTTCAAGGCAAGTTAATAATACTTTGTGCAGTGCTTTATAAGCTTTTTTTGCATTTAAAAACTAATTACTGAGGACCCCTAGAAACAGAACAAAATTCTTCCCCATTAAAGTTGATGGGAATTCTGCCATTAACTTCACAGGGGCAAAGATTTCTCCTGCAACTTCTGCAGAAACACTTCAGCTTGCAGGAGTAATCAGCTTCCCTGAGATGCTCCAACAAGGGAGGTTCAGAACCGGATGCCAGAATTACTGAGACTGACAATGTGTTAGATCTGTTTGGAAAGCCAAGTCTTTATTCTACGATCCATCATCTCGAGCTAGGCCAGAATATTATCTAAATAAAGTTAGTCTGTATTAAAATGCGTGGCTTTGGTTAGATTTATGTGGTATGCAGATAGGAACATCTCTGAAGCACTGCGGATCAGAGGCGGTTGTATTTCAACATCCTCTTTCGGAGGGTGGGCTGCCTGTGGAGTTAAATGCTTGGAGGTCTGAGAGGTAAAGATCTAGCAGTTATCTACATCAAAGAGAGTGTTCTTGCTATTTTTAAGGCAGTAGGAGTATCTTTTGAGTAGTAACAAATCCACTTGCCTTCCAGTATGCAAAAGCAGGCTGAATATGCTCTTTTCATATTATACTGAAATAATCACAAGCAAATTCTTTGATTTTTTTTAATGTAGCACAAATATTTTGTAAAATAAAAAATTAGCCACTAGCATTAGGATGTTTCGATCATCATAAAGAATGATATTGTTCGTGTAGTTAAATGATCAACTAATTGAAGCTGAAAGCAGCTTTCTCAATTTCCCACTGAAACAAGTTATTTAGCATCTTCAAACCATTAAATTCATTACTAGATATGCAAAAGGGATTATTATCAGTATTTATTAATTATAGATGTTCCAATATGTATGGAGGATAAACACAGAGTGGGGAAAAAAATTTGGCAAAACTTATTGTTATGCTGTCATCTAGTGGTAGTAAAGTATATGCTATACATGCCATAAGGCTGAACAAATCCATGGTGAATTCAAATAAGAAAATGTAGGTTTGGGGGCCAGGGGCTGTTGGTTGAAGCTCGCACAGACAGGCTTGGCAGCTCTGCTGCAGTTTCTCCAGTGACTGCCACTCACTGGCAAAGAGAAGTACCGGCACCCCCAGGGTCCACGCGCATCGTCCGTGGTTTTACTTTTACCTTCCAGCAAAGGAGGTTCCTCATCAAATCCATCAGCGTAACTAAGGTGAGAGAGAGTGTCGGGACTGTACGTTGGCTGCAAAATCTGACCTGTGTAACTTGGAGAGGACAGATACATTTCTGATGGGGCAAAAGCACCGGCTGGAGGTTGCTCTCCTGTTTGGCTCCTAGGACAAGAAGCAAATCACAGCGAAACAAGTAACTGCAACGAGCAACTTCACAACAGCTTAAAGCTGCTTGCCTGTGTGCCTTGGTTTCAATTTTCAACTATTTTCAATGTGAGGAATTTGGAAAATTTTCTGGGCGCGGTGACCTCCATGTGTAGTGAATGGCGAGCTGCTGACCACGGCTTTGCTCCCCTTCGCTGCCACCCCCCCTGAAACCAGGCAGGGCTCCTTGCCGGTGTGCCAGCACGTTGCAGTCCATCGCACCCACTTCTGTGCCTGTCCAGCTCATGGCACAGCCCACGGCCCCAGGCTGGGGGCGAGGGAAAAGGGAATTTAGGAGCTGTGAGGGCACTCCTGACTTTTCAACCAAGCAGCCTGGTGACGTTCCTCAGACATGTCCGTATGGCTAATGAAAGACCCATATATTTAGATTTTTTTTTTTTTCTCAAATCTGAGAAAGAGACTAAAGAATTTGTAGCAATAACTGTCCCCAAATCCACATTAATAACATATAGCTCAGTCACTCCAATTAGGTAAATAACCTGTAACATCTGTACGTATAAGAGTAGCACAGAACCCAATCCTTCATATAGAAAGGTTTAATTATAAGTAATTCTGCTTTGGGAAAAGTCTAGATGATCTCTTAAAGCTCTTTTCAGCTCTATTTTCTGTGACTCCCTAATTATGATTATATATGATTTTTTTTCTGTATGACCAGAAGGCATAAACCAAGCCTGAACTCTCATTTCACTGAAACCAATACGTATGTAACAGCCAGTGACATCCAAAAAGGCTGATAGTAAAAATGAAAGAAAACCCCAAACAATGCAGAAATAGTAAGGATATAACACAGAAGAGCCCAGGAGCTCCTAGGGAGAGCTAGGGCCAGTCTCTCATCCTTTGATTCCTATTTCAGTGCTTTAACTAAAGCCATTCTTTATTTCCTGAAATTTTCCAGCAGGGTGGCGCAGACATTGTGGAGCACTGGCTCCATGGGCAGGAGGGACTAAATACCTTTGTGGGGCTCAGGTTTTTTTGCCAGGAGGCCCAAATGCATGGCTGGGAGGACACTGTTGGCTTGAGCTGGTCTCCTGCCATTCATCCCCCTCTGCAAGACCCAAAGCCAGCCAGATCCATCAGCTGCTAAGCAGGGAAGCTGCAGCAACACCCAGCCTCCTACCACACAGTCCTGTAGAAATCTCCTTAAGGGGAAACTCTCAGAACTTCTTTCCCTCAATGTCCCTCTTCCATGGCCCAAAGTCACCAATAGGTTTAAAAAAAATACAAGAAAAACATGAAAAAATAAGATTCATCCTGTGTTTCTACTGCTATGACTTGTATTTCTCCACTAAAACTTCCACTGTGCTGCTTATGCAATCCTTTTTTGGCAATTGCATGCTGGTTTTTGACATTAATTTCATTTGAACTTTGAGATATATCGCCTTTTTTCTCTCTCTCTTTTTTTTTTTTTTTTTTCCTTTTCTTTTATGGATACTTACTTTCTGCTTCCACAGAGGTTTTCATTAGACCCGTAACTGTTGTAACCTTCTTCCTGGTCATCTATGGTATAATTGGACTGGTAAAAGTCGAAGTGAAACTCCTCAAAATTTGACATTCTGGTTGGAAAAAAGATTGTAAGTATTGATAAGATAGCCTTTGGAACAAGTCAATATCTGCTTTGAACTGTCCTACACTGAAATGAAAACAATAAACCTTAAAGACACAAAGTCAAGAGAAACTTTGTGTATAAACTCAGGATGATTTGGAAGTGACAAAAATGGACTCTTTACTTTCATTTGTTGTAACAAGATAAATTAATCTTCTGTTATCATTAATGACTGTATATTAATTTGCAAATGGTATACAAGACTTCCTGTCTTGTTAGTGTTACCAAAAATAACTTAAGTAATTCTGGAAGATATATATCAAGTAAACTATTGTTTTAAATGGTTCATTTTCCTATTTTAAAAGAAAATTGTGGCCATGTGTAAATTCTTAGAAATTAATTTTTTTAAAAAGTATTTTGGGCTTCAAACCAATTACTAATTTCAGCTATTTGTGCTTAGCAATATTAAACATGACCATCATAAACCACTGGAAAAATACAAATATATTGATAGATTTTGTGATTTCTGTTTAAGAACCCTGTAGCTGGCATATTAGGAGTACCAGATAAATATGCTCACTGGTTAGCCACATGACTTTGAAGAGGAGAGCATACTGAATGATTGAGTGGAGAGTAAAG